TATGGTATTAGAACCCAAAAGCTCAAACAAGCATCCAATTAAAAAATAAGATATAGTCAATATTGAGAGACATCATCTAAAAGGAGCACGTTAAAGATCCCGCCAAGGAACCTAACATGAGTTTATAATAGACATTGACTACTCCTCTCAATCCTAATTGATTTTGAGATGGAACTCGTGAATAATAATCCATACACCTCGTTTCAAAAGGATAATCCCAATTGTTTTTTGGTAAAACAAAAGAGATGTGATTTAACCATTGAGTTGGATAAGATGAAATGAAACAAAGAGAAAAGATTGTATTAAAGTAATTGTCAATTGGGTAAAAGAAGAAAAGATAAAAAGGGGTGTGGTTGTGTAGCATAGCATAGCACAGGCATTAATAGGAGGAGAAAACATGTGACTTTTATTTTGGCCATCGTAGCTACCAACAATGGAAAACAAAAACAAAATTGCAGTCATTATGAAACGGCAATTTGAGGATAGGATCTGAAGAGAAGATCAGATCAGAAACAAGATACAATAATAAATGAAATTCAACCCTTCAAAATCAATCAGATTTTAATACAGATTGTAGCATGTCCATGTAGTAGACCACTCTGTTCTTTTGTTCTTTTCTTTATTTATTTCTTTTTTCCCACCAAGAAAAAAACTGACAACAAAAATATGAAAGCAATAGCCCAGAGGAAAATACGCATACAAGACCACCTGAAAAAACTTGGGTAATTTGCAAAACACAACAGTCTCTCCCTCCTCCGCCGTCTTTGCAGTCCCCAAATCAGCAAACTCAGAAAAATCAAAACTTTCGTTTCTTTTCTCCCTTTTTAATAAAAATAAATAACCCCCACATCAAAATTCAAACCAATTTACAAAAAGAAAAAGAAAAAGAGAAGAGAGAGAGTCGGAGTTGATATATATCCAAGAATCCCCAACACCCTTTTTGGGACCCCCAGTTGGTGTCTTTATCCACACCTTTTTGTCCTTCTTCTTCCTCTCTCCCTCTCTTCCATTCCATATGTCTTCCTCCGCCCCCTCCTCCTCCAGAGGCGGCGGCCGACGGCGGAGGGGCGCCAGCGATTTCGAAGGCCCTTCTTCTTCCCGCCGCCGTGGAGGCCCCAATGAGGTCTGGCCCGAGCCCTTTGTGGAAGCCCTCGCCACCCAAGTCGCCATTGACGCTTCTCGCACTCTCGGTCGCCTCCACGCCGCTACTGCTCTTTTCAACGTTTTCCAGGTGACCCTCTCTCTCACGTGACCCCTCCCCCCTCCACCATTTATAAAAATCAAAGCTTTTTTAGTAAAATTTCATATAGATTATAACTTTTCTTATTTTGAAGTATTTTAAGCTAATGGGTGTGTTTTAATGGGAAATCAAATCACTACTGCCATGGAGAGGAAGAGGAAGTATGGATATATTTTTATATATATTTAAGTCATTGAGTATATGTATGTGTTTTTTGCCTGTTTTGTTATGTTCTTGTAAGTGCAAGTCCTTTTCAATGTGGGGGTTTGGTTTCTTTTTGTTTTTGTTTTGGGGGAGCAATTTTGGTTTTGGCCTATTTATTATTCTGCTTTAGAATTGTCTATTTTTGGGGCCCTTTGCATATCTCATGGAAAAGGGCTCTTTTGGCGTAGAATTTGCCTTTTATAACCTTTATTGGCATGGATCTCTTTTCTGCACTATAAAATCCTCTCTACTTTTTTGACTGAAAAATTTAAAAAAAAAACTCTTTTTTTCTCCCTTTTTCTTTCTTATCTGGCTCGGCATCACCAAAATCTATTCAAATGCCCTTTTCTGGGGTTTCCAACACTAGATTGCAAATAATCACTTTGATGGATGCCCACTTTCAAACATTACCATGAATTTCTAATCCTAAATAGTTCCTGGCCAACGATAAATGATAGTAGTAATTATAAAAAATAAGAAAAAAAAGAAAATTTCCGGGATGCCCTTTTGTTGGTCACATGATGTTTTCTTCCTTCTTCCCACGAAACATTTCACACATTTTTGCGTTACAAAAAACATACCATGCCATGCCATGCAAGCCATATTACACCAATAAATGTGGGAAAGGATCAAAAATTTAAATAAAACAAAAGGCAATAATGTGTTCACTTGGATTTTTGCGGTGCAAAATGAGTATAAAAACACAACTATTTCATTAAAGTGGCATCTGATGTACCGAGGAGGAAAAATTTCARAGGGAGTGGATAGGGTATAGAATAGGCAGGCGGGTCAAAGGCAGAGAGAGAAATAGAGCCTGGAAAAAGAAAAACATAGAAGAAAATAAAAAGAAAACAGAAGAGAAAGATAAAAAGAAGAAAGATTCTGTGCTTTTAACGAGAAGGGGCTATGTCTACACCTTTCTTGGAAATGAAAATTGGGGGAGAAGAGAGATACGTGGGGAACCACGCTTTTGAATGAATATACCATGTTTTTTCTTTTTTAAATATTCACTCTTTAAACTTCACTTGTTTCTTCTTACAAAACCTAGTAGAGACTCCATGAAAACCAGAGAAGAACAACATGGACCACACGCGACACAAGAGACTAGAG